GATTTGGACTTCAAGATCAGGGGGGAAAAGTAAAAAGGAAAGGAAAAATAGTACATAAAGAATGAATTCTGTGTTAATCTGAAGTAGAAAGGACTGCTTTAGTTGTCACATTCCTATTCTAAAGATTTAGGAAAATGTCTGTCTATTGACCTACTCACATGTGGCAGATATTTAATTACTATTTTCATTCATTATAGTCACAAATTTTCAAAGTTACCAAAGGGCATCATAAAACAAGTCAAAGAGGAGACCCTTGAAGACCAAATGTCTTGAAGAACATGTTCGTGAGAGTTCTTGGAGTTAGTGAAGGGGGGGGGCAGGATGCTGTGGTCAGAGCATGTAGCACGAGGCTCTGCTCACTTAGAACCCAATTTTCAGTGATTCTGAAAGTGCCCACCAAGCCAGGGGACTTTTTCGTTGGTTGGTTGGTTGGTTGGTTTTTAAAGATAGGATCTCTTTACACAGCCCTGGCTGTCCTGGAACCCACTATGTAGACAAGGCTGGCCTCAAACTCATGGAGATCCACCTGCCTCTGCCTTGCAAGTACTGGGATTAAAGGTGTGTGCCACCATACCTAAAAGTGGGGTGCTTTAATCTCCAGGCCAGTGAGATGGTTCAGTGAGTGAAGGCACTTGCCTCTAAGAGGGTGGCAACTTGAGTTTGATCCCTGGAAACCATGGAGGAAGGAGAGGATTAATCCCTCAACCTTGTCCTCTGACCTCCAGAAGTGCATCAACACACATGACCCCATACAAACATCACCCACACATATACACATGCAATGGAACAAAATTTAAAAAGCAAACAATCTTAAGTGGGTCGGTGAGACGGATCAGGAGATAAAAGGCACTTGCTGTGAATACCTGATGAGCTGATTTCAATTCCCAGAAGCCACATGATAGAAAGAGAGAATAGATTTCTGACACTTTTCTCTAACTTCTGCATGCATGACGTTTCACTTGCATTCCTGCACTCATGTACATGTATCATACACAAACTCACAATAGTAAAAAAAATAATCAAATTTTAAGGAGCCCTAATATCACAATAATTGGACTATCTCTGTCAGATGTTGATATGCTATATATGACTTCAACACTTTATCATCTGCTTTTGGGATCCTCAATATTGAGAGGGGCCCATGAATCACTTCATATTGTAACTGGAGTCTGAATTTGCTAATGATCTTCATGTTTGCACCTGGTTTTCATCCACACAGAGGAAGTAACCAGGTAGCCTGGCATGATGGGAAGTGTGGCCTGGTCAAGAAATTCCCTCTTCTCTGTGTGTCCCAAGAAGTGTAGAAATTTTTGTTGTTGTTGGAGTGGAGGTGAGGGACACTTGAACCACAAACATTATACATGAATTGTACTCCTAAAGGAAAAACTGAAAAGATGGACCGCAGAAGGCCTTATGATATACAGTTTCACATTTGAAAAGTGTTTGATGGCCAAAGTGGCAAAGTGAGAATCTTTTCAAGTATTTTAAGGAAAGAGTCTTTTAGTGATACAAGTTAGAACTCATATTCAAGGTGAGGAAATCTCACCCGTAGCTTTTAGTTTCCTACTTAGAACTTCTTAGTGGTTCTGTGGAGTAGATCCTGGACTTGGTGAAAGCAGAAGAACTCATGGTTTTTGCCAGGCCCAAAACAGCAAGTTTTCTGGTCGTGGCTATGAGTCACAGCTGGAATGTCCTGTGGTTAACATTCTGCACTGAAAACAGAATCAAGAGCAGCAAGACACCAACTGGTTTCCATGGTGACTGGCATTTGTGTACTTTGAAAAATGACTGTTACTTTTTGTGTGGTGAGTTTACTCAGGAATGAATTGTGGAGGTGACATTAGCCATCTGTGTGAATATAAGCAAAAAAATCTGATTTAATTAAATGTAAATGTTAAAAGGACATAAGACTGAGGGAATTGGGTGGGTTTTCCCCCCTCTGTCTAGTAGAAGTATTGTTGTACACTAATAAGTTCATTAATTTATCTGACATTTTATTTAAGGATTTTCAAATATGTCCACTTGATGTTTATTGTAATGTATCATTCCCTTCTTCCAAGATGATAAAGAACACTTAGTTGTCATTCATCAGTGTTTCCACAAACCCATCCTCCTTGGCCACCTGCCCAGTCCAGTCCAGTCCCACGCACAATGCGTTACTATAAGATCACTGGCTTGTGGCATTTAGGTGATCTTCTTTAGTGAAGAAATCCCATTAAAAGGAAAAAAATTCCTCTATCTCATGTAAAAGGACACAGCTCTTAATCCTGTTGAGCTAAGGAGAAAACCAATGCTCTATAATGTATTATAATATATAATGACCTCATATGGAATCACACACTATGTTCCTCGGCTTGCTGCTATCAAGGGCTTACTATAATCCACGGGGTTGAGGGTGCTTATAGTTATAAAGGAGTTTACCTTAAATTTTGCAGGTTAAAGATGAAGTAATTTCAGCTTTGGTCAGTAAACCACAACCCAAAGTTAGAATCTCTTGGGTTTAAAGACTTTAAGCTGAAAGACTTGTTTATTATATCAATATTGGGCAGCAGTGTATTTATTTTTGTATTCAGTTTCAAAGTAGACTTCATGCAATAAAATTGATGAAAACTCTGAAATTAAGAGAAATGCTCTTCAATGAGACAGTGACTCAGGAGCACTCCTAGTGCAGCCTGTCTTCCTCTTGCCCCTACCTCCAGCTTGCAGAGGACAGAGCCCAAGACTTGAAGTGAAGGGCTTTGGCTTTTGTTTCCTTTTTTCTGATTATCTTGTTGTGTTTGCTTGCTTGTTTTCTTCCTTCATTCCTTTCTTTCTTCCTTCCTTCCTTCCTTCCTCCCTCCCTCTCCTTTTCCTCCCCCCTCTCTCTTTCTTATCTTTCCTTTGCTTTCACTCTCCATCCTTCATGTGGTTTTTGTCAATATGTAGCATTCTCAAAGTTTCTATTACTGACATAAACACCATGTCCAAAAGCAACTTGGGGAGGAAAGAGTCATTTCCAACCCTCGGTTCCTCATCACAGTCCATCACTGAGGGAAGTCAGCAGGAACCAGAAGGCAGGAACTGGAAACAGAGGCCATAAAGGAATGCTGCTTACTGGCTTACTCTTCATGGCTTGCTCAGCCTGATTTCTTATAGCACCCAGGACCACCCGTCCAGGGATTGCACCACCCACTGTCAGCTGCTCCTTCCCACATCATTAATCAAGAAAATTCTCCCTCCCTAGGCTTACCAAGAAGCCAGTCTGGTGAGGGTATTTTCTTAATTGAGGGTCTATCTTCCCAAATGACTCTAGGATACGTCAAGTTTACATAAAACTAGCTAGTAATGTAGTATACTAGAAACTCAATAAGAAATGTAAGTTTTTAAAGTAAGAGTATTTATAAAAAAAGAAATAAATGTAAAATAATAAACCTGAGAAGTGAGTACTATCCTATTTGTTTACTTAAAACTCCTGGATTTAGTAACAAGTGGTGAGTGGCATATTGGATTCTGGTTCACATTTTAAATCTCTGCAGACCTTTCCCACATCTCACAAATATGATGAACAAATAGTTGAGAATTTGATGAGATAGACCAACATTCCGAAATCATGATTTGTTATGAACCTGAACAAGATGACACCTAGGTCCCCACTCTGCAGAATGACTTCAAAGTGATCCTTTACTGCTCAAAATTATTAGATTGATATTTACAATTGTATGATTCAAATTCTTACCTAACTCTACAGAAATAGTAGTACATGCTAAGTCCTTAAAGTAAATGCACTGATGGCAGAAACCAGAGTGTTCATTCACTGGATCTGTACTGGAATCCACCCTCATAATACTCTGCTTTTAACAGAGGGAAAGGAAATCCAGGAGTTGCCTGCTCCCTAATGAAACTCACAGTCAGTAGGGACAAGAGGATGCTGTGCCCATCAGTAGGAAGGGAGGGGTAAGAGGTGATGCTGTGCCCATCACTAGGAAGGGATGGGTAAGAGGATGCTGTGCCCATCACTAGGAAAGGAGGGATAAAAGGTGATGCTGTGCCCATCACTAGGAAGGGATGGGTAAGAGGTGATGCTTGGCCCATCACTAGGAAGGGAGGGGTAAGAGGATGCTGTGCCCATCACTAGGAAGAGAGGGGTAAGAGGTGATGCTGTACTCATCACTAGGAAGGGATGAGTAAGATGATGCTGTGCTCATCACTAGGAAGGGAGGGGTAAGAGGTGATGCTGTGCCCATCACTAGGAAGCGAGGGGATATGTCTGCCTGCATAGAAGGACAAGGGAAGTGCTAAGGTTTCTTTAGGCATGGTGGCTCACCCCTATAAACCAACCGCATGAAAACCTGAGGCAGGTGAATTGATAAAAGTTTAAGTCATCCTAGATTACATAGTGAATTTTAAGCCTTCCAGGGCTACAGAGGGAGACCCTGTCTCAAGAAAAACTAAAATAAAAACTTGAAGTGGGATGTTACATTCAAAGGTGAAAAAGATTCACATCTAATTATTGAAATTAGGAAAGGTATCATTGAAGTACCTTGTAAAATTTGGCTGTAAGGTTCTTATGTCTGAGTCAGTGTGTTTAAAGCACATATATCACATTTTAGTTAATAAAAGAACTTCATCAGTTTGAAAGTCATTGAGTCCATATTATCCATGTACTCATAGATGCACCAAATGTGCAGCCACTAAAACAATAGTACCCAGGGAGGGTTGAAGATAAAGGTCAGTGACAGAGTGCTTCCCAGCACAGGAGACAGGCCTGTCCTCAGTGGGAAAATATACTGGAAAGAAGAATCAGAGGACAGGCACAGTGGCCTTTAATCCCAGCACTCAGGAGGCAGAGGCAGGTGGATCTGAGTTCAAGGCCAGCCTGGTCTACAGAGTGAGCACCAGGACAGCCAGTACTATACAGAGAGATTCTCAAAAAAACAAAACAACAGCAACAAAGAAACAAAAACAACAACAACAAAAAATGTGCAGTGTTTTTACTTTGTGAAATTTCTCTTTGGTTTCAGCTCTATGATGGACCACAAAAGATAGGACGCTACTGTGGAGAAGGTATCCCCCCATCAGGAGCCACCACAGGCTCTAAGCTTCATGTACTGTTCTATACAGATGGCCTTCCTTCACCGAATGAAGGATTTAAGATGCAGTGGTTCGTTCATGGTAAGTCATGTGCTGATCTCGGTTGTATTAATAACTGTTAAAGTAGAAGTGATTCGGACAACTGCTTGAGCAGGTGGTACAATAATCTGCCTTAGAACAGACGCTTTACAAAGTGGCATGGGAGTCTCCCAGGCACAGTAGACAAGAAAGACTTAAGGCTCACCTTGACATTTGTCAGAGAAAGAATAATCAGGATAATGTAAAGAATGGGAGTCAGAATGGTCAGCAAAGGGAGGAAGGAAGGGCTGGGATGAGAGAAACAGCAGATAATTTGAGCTGGATGCTGGAGTCCAGGCTCATGCCTTGTATCTGCTAAATGGAGTAGGGACACATTGAAGCCCACCTACAAATGAGTGGTTGAAGAAGCAAGCAGAGGTGATTACTTCTCTAAAAGTCATTATTAACAAGAGAAATGAGTCTTCAAACTTGACCTCTTATGGGTCAATCTACAGGTGTATGGTCCCAGAGCAATGGTTTCAAAACGTAATCCCCAGTAACAGTAGCAATTTGAAGAACTTTATAAAAATGCAAATTCTTAGCCCCTTTCCTAGACCTACTGGATCATAAACTATGAAAGTAGGCCCAGAACAGTATCTTAATTGATCTCCCTGGTGATTAAGATTTAAAAGCTATTGATCTAGGATAATCCAACTTCCAAAGAGCATCAGAGCAGTAATTCCCAATCATGTAATCATGGTGTTAGGACTCATAGTGAATTTCAGTAAATTGAAGAGACATAGAATTGCAATGCTATACCAGAAGTCTATCAGATGCCTAAATTGTAATTCTCCTGTTAAAATCAGTGGAAAGAGCAAGTGAGATGTCTTAGTTGGTGAAGTGCTTGTCTCACAAGTATGAGAATGTAGTTAAATCCCTTAGCCCAAGCCAAGCACAATAGCATGCCCAGTGATGAAAAGATAGGAACTGAGGATGAGCAAAACCTTGGAGCTCACTGACCAGCTGGCCTAGCCTACTTGGCAGAATTCTAGATCAATGAGAGAGACCTTGTCTCAAACAAAAGGTGGGAAATCCCTAAGGACCAGTTCTCACCTCACTATTATACTCAGACCTCTACCTGCATGTGTATTCAGTATACATTCCTGGCATGAGAGTGCATAAGTAAATGCACACATAAACAAAGAAAGGGGGAAAGGGGAAGGAGAGAGAAGAAAGATACAGAGAGGGAGAGAGGGAGGGAGAGAGAGGAAAGAGAGGGAAAGAGAAGAGAAAAAGAGAGAGGGGAGAGAGGGAGGCAGCGAGAAGCGGGAGAGAGAAGGGAGAGATACAGTGCTTTTGCTAGCTGATATCTTTATTCAAGAGGCTGCTCGCCCTCCCCTCCAGGCTCCAGCCACACTGGCTACAGGCCACCCTAAAGTGTGTGATGGGATGGTCGTTACTGGCTGCACCCAGCTTACTGTATCATTGGTTCTTCTAGCCAACATGCCAAGTCCTCTGCTGAAAGCTCTAACGTCTTGTTGAGCCAAGATTTTTCTTTCACTTCTATTTGGAATCTATCTTCTTTTAAGAGAGTCAAAGACACTCTCTGTCTATTCTCTTTTCCTGTTTACTATTGCAAAAATTTCCCCATTTGCTGGAAATTGGCTAAACTCAGAGCCAGAGTTATGCAACAATATGTTACTAATTAGGGCCAAAACTGGGGAAAAAAATTAACTCTGCACTCACCACTATTTATAAATGGGACTTGACAATAATCTTCTGGAAGGAGATCATCAACAGTTTAAATCAATACAAAATTCATTGATGTCACGTGTTATCATCATGCCATACTTGTATGTCTTATGTCCTGCATCTGAACCATGTAATTTGACATGGCTAGAGGGGAGGAGTCAACAGAGTAAGTCAGGCAGAAGGCCTTCACTGGGAGTAGTACCCTGATTGTCTATTAGATAAAACCTGAAGACAAAAATTGTAAATTGTCATTCTTCCGATTATTAAAGCTATGAGTATTGGGGACTATTTTCATACCAGATACCATGCTGTGACTAGGAACACAAATCTATGTGCACACCCTGAAACTGTTCAATTCCCACAGCCATTTCACGAAAGGGAATACATTGAGCATGCAGATGAATATGCACAATTAAATCTGACAAGGGCTGAAGGAACATATTGAAGCAAATTGGATACTATTGGGACAAGCAGGCAGGCAGGTAGGCAGGTAGGCAGGCAGGGAAGTCTATGAAATTGCAACCTCTGAACTAAAACCTGAAGAATAAGCAGGTGCTATCTCACCAAATGGGAAGAGAAAGGAACCACCCAGTGATACAAGGATGCAGGGGGAGCAACAAGTCACAGGTGGTTAGAATCAAGGTCAAAGGGTAAAGCACTAAGGAGGCTAGAAAGCTGAGCAGTGGCTACCGCAAGCTGGCCCCATAAGGCGCAGACTCAAACCATAGAAGCCAGTGTCTTCCAACATGCCAGTCTTTTATTATTCATAAAAGCAGGTCTGGGTTAGAGTCCCCAAGGATGGAGGAGCATGACAAGTTGACTTAAAATACAGGATACAATACAAAATGCAAACTAAACATAGTCTCCATCACTAAACAACAGGAGCGTGTTTCAAGCACTGCAATGCTAGTCCATTTCATCACAGTGTTTCTCTCTCTCTCTCTGTCTCTCTGTCTCTCTGTCTCTCTGTCTCTCTCTCTCTCTGTCTCACACACACACACACACACACACACACACACACACACACACTGAAAATACTACAATGTCACCTGGTGACATAATCTGTGGGGCTCCCCCAGGTTTGTGCCGCCATCCTTGACTGAAATTCATCCTGCAGCATGTGACTCTCAGTCTTCACATGCAATACTGATACTCTTATATGTGTTTGTGTGTGCATGAGTGCATATAACACATCAGCAGACGAAAATCAAAGACAATTCTACATTGTCCCTCTGGGCTTGTGTTCAGAGTCAACAGAGGCTTCAAGATCCCTAGCCTGACCTGTCCCTAAGCATCTCTTCCTTGCCTGGCCAGGATGGGTGATGTTAAAGCTCTCTTTCCATTAGAATCAAATCACAGGAAGCCCTTTCCCCACTGGCTCCATTCCAGGCTATGCTATAAGAGCTCTCAGCAAAGCTTGTACAGCCCAATGACAATGACATCATTTCCTGAATACTGTGGCTCAGGAACCCTACACACTTCATTCATTTTGCTCAGTAATAAATAAATCCGTTTACCCAGTATGCCTTTTTGTCAACAGCACAAATCTTCTATTTTCTTTAAGAAAATGGATCTGCATGCAGGCTTTCTCTGTGGGTACATTTTGAAAGTGGCTCTGTGATTGCATGATAAAGCCCACACTGCAGCGCCCTTTATGCAGATCTTCAAAGAGAATCCCACCCTAAAAGAAAGAAATGGCCACGGCCAGCCGCCCTGCCTGGCTAATCGGTTCATAGAATTCAGCATTGACAGCATTGTCCAGAAGCTGAATTCTATCCTGGGAGCCTCAGTCTGGGCTGCTGAAGGGTGTATAGAGCTTTCCATAAGTTGTGTGAATAGGCGCTCCCAGCCAGCTGCACACACCCCTCCGCTCTCTCCCTGCCTCTCCTGCTCCTGGAGGCCTCTCCTCACTTGGCAGCATACAAACAAGGTCAAGGAGCTTTGTGAACAGAGAGCGACATTTGTAAAGGCAGCAGGCACTTCAGCTAGGGAGCCAGCAGGGGAAGAGCTAAGTGCCCTGTGAGCAGGAGGTGATGTCACCGTGGGCTTCCACAAAGGAAAGTGTGGCCTTTTCTTTGTGGAGATAGATGACATCATCCTCTCAGATGGGGGCTACTCCATTCTTTTTAGTTGTTAATGAGAGTTCTGGGACCCAAGAGTTTTCAGAAATTGGTTTGGGGGAACATTTTAAAACATTTTTCAAGACTCTCCATGAGTGATTAGATTTGAAAGATAGTGCCTCATTGGTTAACTGGACATTCAGGCCCTGCACCCCGAGTTTCTCCAAAATTTACTTTCTAAATGCTAGTCGGGAACCTCCGTAGGGTCAGCGATGATTCTTTTCAAACCTCATTCCAACTCTTGGTCAATAGCTTGTGGCTATTGTTGGTCTTTCAGGGGAATACCTTCTAATTTGACACTTTTATTTGTTTTTGTGACTTGGAATTGTGAGCTGGTCTTCTGGGAGCACTCAAGTTTTAACTGTTGTGATTCTGTGATTTTTTTTTCTTGCAAACATGGATGCTGGGTGTCTAGTTTCTTAGAGTGAATGAACTGGGCTCTGCACTGGTTGCAGAGGGATGGTACCCTGCATATATGATCCCTGTTTTAAAAACAAAACAGTCTTATTCTTTAGAATATATAGATAACAGCATCCCAACACAGCACAGGCACATGCAGTACACAGAAGATAGAATATCTCAGTATTCAATGCCATTGAGGAAATATTAGAAAATATCTTGAAAGACTCCAGAGGGGGCCGATAATGAACAGAAGCTTGAGAAACACTAAGCAAAGCACATGATAGTAACTCAGGTAGGACTGGCTATCCAATTGATAAAAGACAAGTGCAAAAAACTTACCATTTTTGCTGCCACTGGAGAAAGACCATAGACAGATTTTTTTTCTGTTGCTAGGGATGGATTTCAAGGCTTTGAACATGCTAGGCAACACTCTGTTGCTTTGTTCACTGCATCCCTAATCATCAGAAATGGATTTTATTTTGAGCACTGGGATAATAGGTGTATAGGGAAATGTAGTGACTTCACTGATGTACATTTTGCAATAATAATATAGACAGCTGGGACTTCACAGGCACACAGAGACAATGGCCTGAATTAAGAGCACTGGCTGCTCTTCCAGAGCACCTGGGTTCAGTTCTCAGCACCCATATGGCAGCTCACAACATGTAACTGCATGTCCAGGGGATCCAGTGCCCTCTGACCTCTGTAGCTGCCAGGCACATACGTGTGCACTGACATACCTGCAGGCAAAACACCCATACACATAAAAATACAACCTAAAACTAGATA